TGTGGCTCTAGGCGGAGCACAAACTCATTCAAACCCCCGCTTTCTTTAGGAAAGGAATTAATAAACACAAATGCCATACTGACAGTATTCCAGTTACAGGAAAGATGAGATGGACATTTTTAGACTTGATGCACTGATACGTACTATTGGAGATGGTGAAGCAGCACGATTATCCATTTCAGTTGGTAATGCACTACTGCGTTCAGCGGCTAAGGCATTTGCTAACTAAACTGCAGTTCAGAGCCTTACAATCTGCAGCGGCTTCAGCAAATTCGTATTTTTTTGTGGGCGTTTGTTGCTTACGCGAACGCGTTTCGTAATGCCGAGATGCCAGGTTCGATCCCAGCTTCGGGCCTTGCATTGGTTTCGAGAAGCCGATCGTCCGGAAAGCAATGGCAAACTACTGGACGTAAACTTGCCTAGAAAAATCACAAAAGCCAAAAAACGCCGGGGCTGGTTCTGCAACGTCCTGTAACGGATAAGCTGATTTTGTTCACAAATGCAAATATTTTTTTTTAAACAGAGCCTTAAAGAGTATTACATAATTTATGTGATTTGTAGACACATTCTTGGTATTTATCACAAACTGGCCAGCACGGCGAGAGTTCCTTCTCCTTCCATTCAAGCCGTGATAGGTCGCATGGCCTGTCCCATGTTGTGGGGGTGTCATGTATTCCTCATTTGCAACAGTTCAACTGTACTTTCTTTTATCGTGTTGTCACAGCTTTCGTGTGTGATTTTTTCCACATTGTGTTACTTGCCCGACGGTTCGTGAGTTTCGAAACTGTGCTGTTAGGTTCTCTGTTGTCTGCTTCAGGCGCTCTTTGTTGTGTCTGTGTTATATAAGTTCCAAATAACACACTTTACATTATTAAGGAATATTCAAGATTTTTAATGCTATTTGCCTTTTAATTAAATATCATTTAGTCCCATAATGGGATATAATTTTTCGTTATTTCAAGGCCGCACCCCGACTGTAGTCAAGGGCCCTAATATAACCTAACGGTTGAACTTGGTTTCTGTGACTTGTGCCCGGGTTATCCTCATCCGAATGATGGCATTGTGGTCACCGGGTGTTGGACGTTCATTGTACGGACCTGGTGGGGTAAAATCACATACATACCTAAAGGGTTATTCAAAATGGTGGATACACTTTATTTCACGTGTATTTCCTTTAATATACATCACATATTAATAATATACATATGAGAGAGAGAGAGAGAGAGAGAGAGAGAGAGAGAGAGAGAGAGAGAGAGAGAGAGAGAGAGAGAGGGAGAGAGAGAGAGAGGTCTTAAGTTTACAAACTTACAATAGAGGTTATAGATGTATAATATGGCCGCCGTCTGTTGCTGGACAAATATTTAAGTGGTAACCGAACTCATCCCACACACGAAGAAGCATCCTATGCGTAACTGAGTTCACTGCAGCTGTGATATAGTTAAGCAGGTCGGGCAGAGTTTTTGGCAGAGTATCTACACTTTAAACCTTTCACTTTCTCCTGTATGCAGATTATTAATACATAATGTAAATTTAGGGAACTTTACATGAATGAAGGTGTATCCATAATTCTGAATAACTCTATATATTACTTTTGGAGAAAGCCGTGGTCTAGCGGCTAGACGCCCGCCTGCGGATCTAAAGATCGGGGTTTCGTGCCTTGACGAGTGCCGGACTTTTTATTTTCTTAAAAAATGACCTTGACTCCCAGGTCGACCCAGCCTTGAATGGGTACCAGGTAGAGTCCTGGAAAGAAAGGCGGCAGGTGTGATGCTGACCACATCACCAGCCAAGTGCGTGGAAAATGCTCCTTTACTTTACTTTACTGTATATTACTTTAATGATTCCGTGATCCAGGGTTTTGGACACAATTAACTAGAACATTGTTGTACCAGCCACGAAGTTTGAAGTTTGAACAACGGACCATTATCACGGAACACGAGTGTAACCCATAAGTGCTCCGTTCTTTTTTTAAACTCAAGTCAAATGAAGCCCAGCACAGTGCACAGGCTCTGTAGCATCGGCAAGGATCATGAAATACTTTGGGTAGATTTTTAACTCCAAATTTTTTCCAGGCTACTCTTTTCGATTTCCAACTACCAAGGAACGCACACCCAGAGACCAGAGGGAATTACTAGAAGCCCAAGTCCACGTGAAAAAAATCCCAGCCCTTACTGGGGATTAAACTCCGAAACCTCTAGCACTCGAGGCGGACACCATGCCTCGGGACCACGCAACCCCCTTGTTCCAGCCATGTTGTCCGAAAACCAGTTTATGTCCATTATTTAAACAGGGACTGCGGGAATAAAATGCCGGGAGAGGACATCATTTTGCAATCAGCAGCTTTGATAATGAACAGTGCAGCATGTTGACATTAACTACCGCCTTATTGTGTATCAGTGTGGCCGTTGCAGCCGCTCCCCAACCATCCTGCCCAATTGGTTATTTGTACAGTTCCTTAACAAAACAGCGATGGATTTATTTGCAGAAGGTGATTAAATAA